CGACGCGACAAACGAGAGAGACCGCCGAAATAGAACTGGCTGAACTGGCTCCGCTCTGATCGCGGCGAACCGAAGCGGAGCGGCCACGGGTTACGAGGAGACCAAGAGCGGGCGACAACACGGCGGGTCGAGTCGCCAAGTCTCGGGCGCGCCGATTGGTTCCCGCGCGACAGCCAATCGGCGGTCGGTCCGGAACGACGTCACGAGGAAAGAGGAGCGCGGGCTCGTTCGATTTATCCCCGTTTCTGTCAGTGCTGCGCGGACTAATTTTAATCTCGGTTAGGCAATTACGTTATATCTCTTATGCCCGTTTCCGCCGGTGCAGATTAACTTTAGTCTCGGCTTAAGTTACCTCTTGTCTTTTTCCAATTCGTAAAACTGGGAAAAGACACAAAGTTGAACTGCAAGATTAAAGTTAAACTGCGTTGGTAGAAACGGATATTACAAGTTTTGTTATCCATTTCTATCAACACAGATTAACTTTAGCCTGCTCTTTTTAGTTTTTAGTTCTAAGAATTAGAAAAGATAGAAAAGTTAGTTAACCTAGGGCCATAAATCTTTTTACTTTTCGCGAATTCACGCTAGAGAAAGAGATTCATGATCGAGCCCTCACATTGTCCTTTTTTTCCACAGAGATTCTCTAGTCTGAGTCTGGGACTCGATCATGAGTCTTTTTCTCTAGCGCGAACTCGCGAGAAGCGAAAAAATTTCATTAACGACTTCAGTATTTGTCAAATTTTTACTTTTCATGAGTTCACGTTTGAGGAAAAGATTCGCGATTGAATCTCTAAACTTGAAATCTGATCGAATTGATTGATTCAATTAATCAGAATTCAATCGACCTTTGCCAACAATTATTCCATTCAAATCTGGCCTGTATAATCGAAAATCTCTCCGACAACGTTGACCGCCTTCGCTTCTTTTACATTATATTATACGCGAATTAACCAAAAGTACAGAGTGAACGTTGGAGAAATGTCGGAACGTACGGAAGATACAGAGATACTGCGCGAAAACACCTCGGATAATCGCGTTCCATACGAAAGATTGAAAGACAGTTCTATGGAAAGAACCCAATGGACGCCAGCTGCCTCGTCTGCGAGAGTACGCTTCTTTTCTCAATTGAACTTTAACTCGACAGATCTTACAATTGCTTCCTTAGATTTCTAATTCCCTTTTCTCAAGCGAACTGTTTTACATAATTGCTTGGTCTCTCTCGCAAAGATCTGCTCCGAACGGAAGTCCCTTCTTCATCAGGAGCAAAGGCAGCGAATTATCGACAGCGACTGGGGAGGATACGCCTTGGACCTGGATTTATGGGAGGACAGCAAGTCGCCCGTGGTCCAGATAAGGCCGGGCGAGGTGTCGCTGGACAACAGAGAGACTGCCGGCTTTCTGTCCGACAGACTGATAGGCGTCGGCTCATCCTTCCTGGGGAAGTCGCCCGAAACCGGTCTCCACATTCTCAGCAAGTGTATTCTGAAAAATAGGGTACTGTTGGAAGTCCCACGTTTACTTGTACTTGATTCTGCCTTCCAGCAAGCAAAAGCGCTAAAAACTAACAGTTCGCCAGGGTCGTGGCAAATTAACGTTGCTTACTGGAATTCGAGTGTCGCGTTTATTCGCTGCTGCTCTTTGCTTTTCAGGGTCTCACGGACGTCACCATGCTGCGACACCATCGGCACTTGCAGTACATCAACGTCGCCGGTAATAACATAACGTGTTTGTCACCTGTGAGCGGCCTTCGATATTTGATGTACCTGAACGCGTCGCGCAATGAAATTGAACGCCTGTCGAGCTTCGTGTCTCCCTGGTATCTCACCTACGTAAACTTATCCTACAATCGTATGACGGACATCGGCGACTTGGCGAACTGCTGGAGCATCGTCAAATTAAACCTGTGCCACAACAATCTAGAAAACATCTCCGGCTTGGAAAATTTGAAGTAAACGCATAACACTGTGCCCTGATACGCGATACTCGATATTTGTGACCTATACGAGTTCGTTCCAGACATCTACGGTACTTGAACTTGTCCTACAATCTCATCGAATGTATCGAAAACCTGGACGGTCTGAATATACGAGAACTGAATTTAGAGGGCAACTGCATAACGTCATTTAGATCCGCTACGCCCGGCCGTGGCATAAACACGTTGCCCAGTCTGCGAATAATTCTCTTGGGATACAATAGACTGTCGTCCTTGGGCTTCTTCAAAGTGACCGTCGCGAAGGAGTGAATTGCACGCGAAAGTATTCATAATCCTCGTTGTAACTATATAATTGTTTTAGGACGCATACAGTTTACGCTTCGTAGATCTAAAGTTCAATAGAATCACCGACCTGTTGGAGGTATTGAATTTGAAGGGCTTGATATTCGAGGTCGATCTTCGGGGTAACATCTGCACGAAGTGGCCCAATTATCGAAACTTATTGATATCTTCCATACCAAGCGTTAGGTTTATCGACAGCATCGAGGTGTTCCCGGAAGAAAAGGTATTTCTTTCTTAGCGTTGTACCAAATAAAATTAGAAAACTCAATTTCTTGGAAAGGATTGAGAATGTTTTCTCTAAAAAAGAATATAGCGAAGTCCGTGACGACAATTCTGCTTCTATTCTGCCAGCAACTTGGTTTTTAACTTTGTTCGACAAATTTACGACGAATCGTTTGTTGCGCAAGATTGTTTAACGTTACGCACTGTGTAACTATTGCGAATAAAACTTTTCCAGGTGACGTCGGCCATGCTGTTTGCCTCGCCGCTGGATTTAACAGCCGCCCGTAAAGTAGCGAAATTAACGTTACTGGAGCAGTTGAACATTAGCAAGGTAGACGCTCACGTTCAACCGTACGATGAGATCAGCCCTCCTCTGATGATACTCACAGGACCGTCGGCGCTGAAGAAAATGGCACTTGCCTTGCACGTGGCCCAAACAAATCCCGACAAAGTAATCTTTGCAGATCCTGCAACATCCCTTCTTCCAAATCGGTCTCGAAGAAACGGCAGGATTCTTGCAGATAAAATACTGCTGTTGGCATACCACGAAAGAGATATGCGAAGACGATGACGAACGCAAGGCTCATATTCCTGTAAACAGAGAGGACTTTAACGACATGGCGCGACGTGGCGAATTTTTGGTAATCCTGGACCTCTTGGGCGACAGTTACGGATTCCGTTAGTGCTGATATTAGTTTGTATGGAAAATACCGTTGCGTGACGTTCGTGAACTAGATCTCTTTTTACAGATGTGAGTCAGATCAGTCCATTGATATCTGAACGCAAGATCGGGCTTACTCACATGAATCTGTACGCGGTTACGGAAATTTCTAAACGATACCCGAACGTGAAGGCGATCCTGGTGTTCGCGCAGAGCGTCGACCTTCACAGAGACTGGATACGAGAAAAGTTTGACGTTTATACGTGGATTAAGGACAGTGTGGAAAATTTGCTGGCTGTTAAAATAGGCAAGCACTGGGAGGAAGAAACAGAGACCGCTAGTTGCATATTAAGTTTTATCGAAGAAATTTTGGACGAAGTTCGGCTCTTGAGCTTCAATTTCCTACAATGCAGTGTTCCGTAAATTTCTGCTAAGTGCGCATATATTGTTAGATAATGTGCCGCCTGGTATTTCCAATTTACGGCATCTCCGTGCGGCCGCAAGGAAACGGGGCGACTACAACCGACATAATTTTGCAAAGCAAGACGATGCTACCGAAGGTCGTTCTAGGAAGGACCGAGGCAGCATCGCTGGAAAAGAAACGTATTACATTAACGGAAGCGAAGAATAGAAAACACATTATAAAATCGTTTGATCGATTGTCGTTTGAAGAGAGAAGACGTGAAACAGAATTAAAAGTACAAGGCGTAACTTTAAATGTAATTTGAGTACCTCGTATTTTTTAATGTCTCGGCATCGATATTAGGTGCTGTTGGACGAGGAATCGAATATTATTGTCGACGATGAAGAGACGAAACGTGAAGAGCACAGATCGAAGATATGGCAGCGTCGAACTACTCTGGTGACGAAGCCTGATCATTTTGACGACAATCTCAGCGAATCGACATCCTCCGAAGAAGCAATGGAGATTGTATATGCTTGAAACATTTTTTCCGGGAAAGAGAATTATTAATCTTTTACTCTCGTTCTTATTGTTATATTTCTATTATTTTGACTTTGTGGGGCATTCAAAAACAATACCTTTGAGTATCTTCGCTGTACATGAATATACGAATAACATATAACAGTAATCAAAACAGCTCAGTTCAAGAAAGGAAATATCACAGTAGGATAAATTTTCATCGACGTTTTGTTATCGTTATTCTCTTATTTTCTAGCAAGAGAGGATAACGCACAAAGAAAAGGCAGAGGCATTAAAAAATGTCTACGTCGAACTTGTTATAAAAAGTAGGAAATTGTATTTGGATTATCACGAAAGCCATCCTGGCTTCTTTACTTCAGTGGTAACACATTGTTCCTGTAGCAGTCTTAATTACATATAATATGATACTGTGAATTATTATTCTGTGTTGCAGTTGCTTATGGATGATTATACAAGAGCTTTTGACTCATTAATTGATTTAATTCACGAAACGTATACGAATTTGCCTTATAGAAAGTCGATCTTCTTATCAGAAATGCAGCATTTTAGACACGAGGCAATTCCCATCGCGCTTGAAAATATCGTTAACGAAATCACAGAGTAGGTATATGAAATTCGCGTAGCTTCAAGTTTTGCTTATCACAAAACAATATTTTCTGTTACAGAAATTTATCAATATCTAAACTCCAACGCAAAAAAATATTAAAATTGCGAGGGATCAATTGTCCTTCACAAAATAAGGATCGTGATTAACAAAGCAAATTAAAATATATGATACACAATGACGCTTCTCATCGTAGGACTCTAAAATAAGTTTTGGCTAAATCTTCTAGAAACAATCTGTATAACGTGTGTATTTTAAGTTTCATGTACAAGATTATTTTTAGTACACACGCGTTTTATACTGAAAATCCATAGTTTGTGCATAAAAATGTATTAAATAAAACTTATCCAATCCTAAACATGTATGTACACTGTTAATTATACATTAAACCTATTCGATTTACGATGTCAGCAATACAGAGCGGAAGATTGAAATAATAATTAAAAATTGCATTGTAGACACAGTGCCTGATATAATACTGCTTACTCCATCTGTAATATTTCGTCTATATCTGAATCCAAATCGGAATACTTTATTTCACTTTTACGTTGAGCGACGGCAAGATCTTTGTCCTTGAGAGTTCGCGGAGCGGCCTGCGGAAACATGTTGCCCGTCGTCCTCGGGCTTGCGAGATTCTGCGGACTGTTTAAAATCGAGTTTAACAGCTGATTTCCCGCATTGTAATTCGTAAGATCCTGTGAGCTCGTGTTGAGTCGAAAGATCGTGTCGACTGATCCTGCGGGTGCCTTCCTCGCTATACTTAACTGAAAAATAATTCGTAACAATGTTGTTTCAAGAACATGCTAATTACGCACGGAACACAGTATATGAGCCTACCTGTTCTTGTATCTTCTTTGATATTTCCGCGATTTTGTCGCTCTGCGATGTTTTTAAAACAATGTTGCCTGTACTCATAGACTTTTCTTTCTGCAACGCATATTCTCTCCTCTCAGCAAAACTTGATAAAAACAATATGGATTATTTTCACATTACAAATATGAAAATATAAAAAGTTACAATAAAATCTTCAATACCTTGAGACACTCCAGTCATTGCTATTTATTTGACTCTTCCTTTGACTGCCCTCCGTATCATTTTTCTTCTCATCTAAATCGAACAAGACTTTCTTCTTTATCAGGCTGCCGACTGAACCGCTCGTTGGTTTTAAAACACTTTTATTCTTCGGAGAAAGAACCGAATCGTCCGGCTGTACAATCGTACTATCCGAGTCATTGTTTTCGGAAAATTTCGGCGCTACCACCTGCTTCCTGTTGATCGGAGAATTCGCTTTACGCGCGTTATTATCCGACACAGTTATCTTCGTAGGTGAAATCTGCTTTATATCTTCTCGTGATTCAATGGAGCTCGCGGAAGAAATACTTGGAATCCGAGCCAGGTTTGGACTGACGTAAGTGTCCGCTCCGCTCTTTTTCACTGGCGATTCGCGCGTGTTCTCGTGCACCTCATCATCTCTATATTTCTTAGGAAGTAGCTCAATTTTTTGCTTCAGACGTAATTTCAACGGTGTTGTATTTTCCGTCTTCTGGACAGAGGTATACTCGCCTGAGAAACAAAAGATTGCATATTAACTGTCTACTAGAGTATACTAGAGTTTTAATATAGAAAATATATTATTACCATTATTCTTGCTGAAGGCTTTCCAAGCCTTCGATTTGACGTGAGTGACCAGCTTGTCCAGCGGAGAACTTTTCGTGAGCGTCGAATACCTCGATTCCTTACGATTCGCCGATATCCTTAGAAGAACGTCCTCAAGTATTTTCTGTTTGATTTGACTGTATCGAACTAGCTTTTTCGCATTAATATTTTGCTGATGCCTCACAATCTCCATTTTTTGCTTGTACGTTGCCGCAGGTATTCCTTGCCATTCTGGATCGATTCCCAATTCTCGCAGCCGGTTATCGAACATACTTAGCGCATCCTCCTGTATCGATATTCTCTTGGCATTGGGAGATTTAACTGCAGGCGTTTCATACTTTTTTATCAAATCATCGTCCGTTGTAACACTCTCGCTATCGGTTTCCGACTCCGACATCGACGACAAAGATCCAGATTCTGTCACGGAACTTACACTACGTCTTTCTAAGAACTCGGATCTTTTATTGGTCTTTATATTGTCGGTGTGTAACGCGTCTTTCTTCTCTCTAACACCTATGTACTTTTTATTTACATCAATAGGATGCTCTTTGGTAACAGAATTTTTATTTGTGCGAACGATTTCATCCGTGTCACTCAACACATCGTAATACCTCGCATTGTTTCTCGTTTTCTTGACTTCCGATCTGTCCGATTTTTTCATAGACTTTGCATTCAAGCGTTCTACAGTCCTGCTGTCAGTAACAGCTTTCTTATTACTCTTGCTTTTTACAGTACTATCTTTACTAGGCTTATTTTCGGTTTGTGCCACGACTGACATCAGTTTGTCACCGTATTCTTGACTAGATTCACTATCGACATCTTGAACGACCATCTCGGTAATCTCAGTATTATTTGAACTCTTATAAGCTTTGCTTTCATTGCTGTCGCGGTTTATTGTTAACAAAGGAGACTTGTGGATTTCTGCCGGGTTCTTCTCCCAAGTTTTATAATTATTGATCTGTAATTGCGAATTACTGATCTCACGTGACAAGTTGTTCAACTGCTTTCTTTGCTCCACCAACATATTGGATTGGTCCACAGACTGTTTCTCTAAGTCGTGCACCTTAGAGACGTACTCAGACTTTATTCGATCGGCTACTTGCTGAGTCGCTTTCAATTCTGTGGTCAACTTCTCGATATCGCGACGATGTTGGGCCTCCATGTCCTCCATCTTGATTCTCCAATGATTCTCTTGCGTTTGTAATTTTACCTGCATATTTTCCATGCCCGGCGTCAACTGAAAAGACAAACTAATATAGCCTAGCACTGGAAAAACTAACGTACAAGAGGGACCCTGATTTCTCACCCTTTCAAGAAGTTGATTTCTCAAATTCTCAATCTCTTTCTCTTGCTGACTGATCAGAGTTTTCACATTCGTCTCCAGGATACTCTCGTTTACAACGTGATCCTTTTCCCTTAATGCCTGCAAAAAGGCTCCAAGTAATTCGTGAGGAACACCACGCAAACAGAATAAAAGTTATTTAATTATAAAATTTGTACGCGTATCTCGTCGAACAGCATCCTCTTCAAACTTCCGATATCTTCGTGGTATCTTCTCTGCTCGTGAAATTTATCCGCTTTACCGTTGTCGTACTCGTTTTTACTCATATTCCTCGCGTAGTCCTTCCCCATGTTATCCAGCAGTTTGTCGGACTCGTTTCTTATCACTCTTTCAGTTTGATTCAACCTTTCCTTCAACGTCTTTATCTCGTTGTGCAACTTCTCCGTTTCTGCTCGATAATGATCGTGCACAGGTGAGGCGGTGACCCCCGCGTCCGATATGAACGAATGTTTGCGCGCTACATGAGCACTCACGAATATAGCGCGTACAAATGTTTTCGGGCAATGCGGGCACTACAAAAAAAAACACCATGCGGTGGTTTGAAATCTCAGGAGCATCGCATCGATTTATTATTTACAACTTGTAACCAGCAGAGGTCAGTTTTATTGTCGACAGAATGCGCCTCATTTTCGACAGACGGCTCCGTCCAAATAATCTACCTTGAAAACTTCCCCGTTGGAGATCTCGCCGACGCTGGTTTCAATCAGCTTACGCCTCTCCCGCGTTCTATCCTTGAGACTCTTCACGGTGTCCTCCAGGGCGGCGATTTCCTTCTTCATACCGACGTTCTGCTCAATCTTCTGCCGCAGCTCGTCCTTCAGTATTATCACGCTGTGATCCAGGTACTGTTTGCAGTACAGCAAATACTCGACTGACAGCTGCGCGAGCCGGAACAGCTTGACGAAGCTGGGGTCCAGGATCTTGACGTCGTACTCGCTCTCCAGGCAATAATCTATTACGTTATTGATGTTCTGATCGATGGTGGAGAAATCTCTCTCCCGCACGACTCTGTCTATGTCTATGGCGCCTGTAAAGAGATGACAGGTTGTCAGTAATTTGTCAATCAATTCGAAACTTCGTCATCTGTGACCAGCGACACACCTATGCGATTCCAGTCGACTCGCACCCTGGACCCATGCATGTTGAAGTAAAATCCCGACTCCCTGGCGAGCTTCGGGAAGTCGTGGCACCAATTGGTGCCGGCTCGAAACGAGAATGCCATTATTTACAGACTTGACTCGCGCGCAGCGGGGAGAGTCTTAGAAAGAGATCCTTCCGCGGGGGAGAAATCCCGCGCTTCCGTTCATTCGCTCGCGTATTCACGTGTCGCGCGTACCCGCGCGAAATCTCCACCGCATAACTGCTCGCGGTCGCCCGCGTGTGATCCGCGCAACGTCATTTGCGATCGCGACTCGCACGAGCGGGAGGATACAAACGGCAGGTGTCAAAGTCGGTGTAAATCTTTGACTATATAAGTATGGACTGCTAACAGTTCTTCAGGTGTGTAGCCAACATAGAGCAGCGCTGCAAAGTACCAAACGGGAAAATGACAAACTAAAATGCGACGCCATGCTTATTCTTATTGCATCAGTTCTGTCATAATGTAATTTTGATCTCCAATTTTTATTTAAAAATCGTGATTTATTAATTATATTACTACAAAAATGGTGGTGTACTGTTTTGTTGAGGGATGTACTTCTACCCAATATAAGAAGAAGTCGCAGGAAAATGACGAACCAGTGTCATTTTACGGGTAAGTTAATACTTAACCTAATACGAGGGTTGCCTTTTATATTTTGCGAAAAATGATGAAAGAACAGTAATTTATCATTGAAAATGACTTTATTTAATGTTCACGTGTCAATTCCATTTTTTGGCCGAGATGAATTTTTC